AAAAAGGAACCCCAAGGGTTTTTCTTCATGAGCGAAGAGGCTCTTTCTTTTAAAAAGCTGATTATTCTTATGCATGGTGGTGGTGCAGTACCTGCTGGCCAGTGGGCAAAAAGGTTTGTTAACTGGCTGACCCGTGGCTCGATCGCCGCTTATGAAAATTGTTTATTTTGTAAAAAAAAAAATCATCCAAATCTGATACATATTTTACTTACCATTATAAAATTAACATAAAGATAGCTTTTTGTTCACTTGTGTTCTTGAACCCTCCCCATCCTTACACTGGAGATTTCACTATGTATCGATTCATATGGCATCCTTATTTTCTTTACCAGTGTTAAAAGGCACTTGAAATACAATATCTACAAAGCTTTTCGCTGTCGTATCACAGCGTGGGACAATCACAACCGAGCTAGGCTCCAAACTAAGTGAAAGCCCAAAGATCGAATTAGAATTTAGAAGTTGATTTTTGAGGAGGGAGGAAAACCGGAGAACCCGGGGAAAAACCCTCGAAGCACAGGAGAGAACCAACAAACAACTCTACTTACATACGACATCGAGATCGGCAGGACTCGAACTCGGGCCGCATTGAATTGGTGAGAGGCGGCGCATTAGCAGCGCACGCCACCAGTTCTTCCCTAATATGAAGTCTTACATGCTCCAAGTCAAGTCTTAAGCTTTTACTTCTTTTTTCCCCCTTTTTATCTAGTGTAATCCTCAATGAAAATCTTGAAAGCGGGACGATGGTGCCATATATAGAGACAGCACTCAAGGTAAAGTACTCTTTTCTACTTTCGTTTTTTCTTTCCAGTAAAATAACCATGTCGTTCTAAATAGGTTTCGTTGTAAATACGTTTCTCCGACTTTCTGAATTCTGTGTTAGATGAAGTTATTATTATCTCATCTCATCTCATCCCATCCCATCTCATTTCATCCCATCTCTTCTCATCTTATCTCTTATCATCTTTGCTCAACCCATCTCTTCCTGTGCCATTACATTCCATTCCATCCGGTCCCAGCCAAGGAACAATTTAATCTGGTCTAATCTGATTTACGTGAGAATGGATATAGTCTCCCAGGGGGTAAAAGACTCTATTGTAGTATTTCCAGAGGATAAATAAAAAATGTATCGTTTTGGTAAACCAACATGGCCGCTGTGACGTCACGTGAATTCGCTCTAATGAAATAGGCGTCTCCCCGAGCATTCGCGCTGTTAAAGTAAGAGTTAAATTCCGGGTCTCACCGCTCTGTTTTGGGGATAGGCAGTCGGGGGTT